TAAAAGAAGTTAATGATATTGCATGTTTCTTTTTTAAAGAAAAATGTCAGAAAAGATTAATTGCATCAAAAATTAAAACATTGCTGATAGGAACATGTATTTGACAATGGGGAAAAAGGGGATAGGGAATGACTTCTCAGTCAAACACCCTGTTCACTTAAATATAATAACTTGAGAACTATTTGGCTTATAATCGCAATATTTCGTAAAAACGAATTGAATTAATATTTCGTAAAAACGAATTATAATTTCATAATAACGAATTAATATTTCGTAAAAACGAATTATTATTTCGTAAAAACGAATGAATATTTCGTAAATACGAGTTAATGTTTCGTAAAAAGGAACTAATATTTCGTAAAAACAAATTATCATTTCGTAAAAACGAATTAATATTTCGTAATAACGAATTAATATTTCGTAATTACGAATTTATTGCCGGGGAAAATGTGTGGAAAATGTCACCTTAGGAGCTCCGTATTATTGAACTGAAAAAGACTGATTTTAGAACTAAAAAAACGGATTTTCACATGAGTCAACTAAAATCATTTGGATCAATCAACATCGCCACAAAGTATAATAATTAGGTTATTCACATCAACAGATTAATTATAAGAATTCTTGTAGAAAACGTGCCAACGCAGGGGTACATTTACGGAGAATAAAATATGCATACACCGATCACATTACGTGAGCACGTGCCGCTGTTCAATGTTTTTTTTTTTTTCAAATTATATGCCGTAATGTAAAGGTAGCTGACTACAATGACAGCCCGGGAATTTTGTTATCAGAATATACCGTTAAATGATATCACTATCGAACTAAATAATATTACAAAACTTGTTTCTGTTATAAAAAAAAAACACTGCGTTTGCAGAAAACACATACTTTTAATGTCAAGTGAGGTAAATGCTTGTAAAAAATGTGTATAAACCAACCATTCATGTTTCACTTTTATCATACTGAAAACTGTCGTATTTTGACAAATAGAATTATAAAGAATTAAATCTACTGAGGTAAAAAAAGTAAAAGAAAAACTTGAAAATGTATTTCAAGTAGACTTAGTAAAGCACATAAAATGGAAAATCTGTGAAGGATGATAAAGGAACGTCACAGAATAAAAACATCGATTTATTTTGGTGGATTCTTAGCTCAATTTGAGTAAAAAGAGTTGCAACGCATTCATCTTTAAGTCAGTTGGCGCAAGAAAAAAACTGTGACGGAATGACCTGAAAAATTCCATATAAGTTATTGGTCCGGACCTACATAAAATTGTTTCAAAGAAATTATGGTAATATTATTTTTATTATAATTGAAATAACTAACTTTTGTTTAATTCATCTATATTGTATAAATAGTGTATGGGGTTGTGTGTGTGCGTGTTTTCGTGCCAGTTAGGGCGAGTTGCACCAGAATTTGTTTTCGACCACATTCACAAGGTCTTTCGTTATTTCTGAAATCAACTTATATAAAATGTCATAAAATGTTTACGATGATATAATATTTCTTAACTTGTAAAACTATCAAAACTACTTTGAGAGATTGAATTAAGAAATGTCACTTTAGTAGCATTTTGTTGTTGTTTTTTTTGTTGTTGTTGTTGTTGTTGTTGTTTTGTTCTGTTTTGTTTTTCATTCCATTTAAATAAAGGGTTGCATACGAAAATTTGGACTAAAGCAAATAAACTTTCGCGTTGTTGTGTTTGGATCATTTGAGTTGATCAATTAAATATTTTTCTTGTTTCACCCATGCGATTTGTTACCTGGTTATAAAGTTTCAAAGCTGACCCAAATTCGAAGAATTTATTACTTCTGATTCCACTTGTTGGGTTTCCTCAATTGCTGTATCGTCTTATTTGGATACTATACGTTTTTTTCATGGAATGGTACATAAAAGTCACATTGATGGTTACCACATTATCGAATGATGTTATTTTTTTATATCATAATTATGCATGTTAAAGTAGTTTCTTTGTAAGTGGGTGCTTAGAGGCGTGTGCGTTAGTTCAAGTCATTCAAACAAGTGTAAACATTAAAAGTACTTCTTCGAAAAATATAACATTTTTTATTATTATAAAGAAATTCTTTGAAAGTACTTTATAGTCACACGTCCGTTTCAACATCCGGGTCATAGATTAGATAATAATGTTCAAAAACGTGTTAAATGTATGGTTGGTAAGATAAGTGTTATAAATTAATGACACTTAGTATTTACTATTTAAAGATATTCCATGAAATCTATTAAGTAAGATTTCTAGAAGTAAATCTCATAAAGTACAAACATGATTACCTATTACGAAAGACATATGATAAAGATTCTTGTTACAAATGAATTAATTTTAATGAACATGAACTTTTGCTGGAAATTTCATTAAATGTTAAAATTATTTTTGTGCAAAAGGCTTGCAGTATTTCAAATGAATTGTAACACATTTGTTTTTGTTATTTTGGCACTGAAAGTCCTTCCCAAACTCATCAGTTAGAAAATTGGCTGTTTAATAAGGTCCTTTCCGTATGTAAAATGAGCATGAAAAGGCGTAGTCAAGAGACATGTTTTGCAACTAGATGGCCTGCTGATATCTTGTTGTGTCAAGGTCTGTTGTACAACTTGCTGACTTGCTGTTCAATGGTAAGTCTCACCAAATTATCGCTGATCTTTCACGATCCCTTTGAAAGACATCGTAGCCAAAAGGTATACACCTTGGCACCTGAACTCGCGTATCCAACAATCCTTGTAGTTGAAATGACACGGACGTTAGTTAACCCTGCCCAAATCGAACGTACATGCTGACGAGCCCAGTGATCTCGATGTAGTCGGTAACGTGATGTCAGGATAAAACCCAAAATCGGACGCCTGTTTCTAATGCCCTGAACACGTTGAAGTATTTTACATCCTTTTTAAAAATGTGTTTTATTAAAGCTATAAAAATTATAACGTAATTTGCAACAAATACACTGTATTCTTTTTGTATATCGCTACAGAAAGAGTTTTAACAACAAAGAAATTCATGCCAATGTGTCTCTTATTGTACCTTATATAAAATGTCTGACCAGTAATTATCAATATACCAGACATACAGGCATTTTGAAATATATTATGGCGTTCATAAATGTTGATAGCAATGCTTTAAGTTAAAGAAATAGTCATTTTGAAAATAGTACTGGGTGGTTCCAGTATTCCTACTGAAATACTGTATAATCACTCTTTGGATATTTTGCTTGCTTTTTAGATTGGTCTTTTGACAGCTTGTCTGTAATATGTAGCCTTCAAGACATCTGACTCTCTTTCAAATTTTATATAATTATTTTCGTAGAGCACATGAATTTTCAATTTTGTACTTTAAAATCACATGCTAATTTAATGGCTTGACACAAACGTGTCACATTGAAGCTTCCGTGATATCAACGACAAGAAATTTCATTGAACATTTGGGCGTTTTAGACGTTCTTTAGACATTCTTTTCCTCTTTATTTCATTTATTAAATATTACATCAGTATGTACTTACACATAATATGTTTATAAGGATAAGAAAATGAAATTATTATTCTTATTCTATCTTAACTTGTAAACTAACATAATATTTAGAATTTTTGAATATTTTTAGCGCATTTATATTCAAGCGTTAAAAACTGAATACACCCATTAATGTCATTCCTCAGCAGCTAGGAAGACTTCTTTCTCGCAAATCTTGAAATGCATTTTATAAAATGTTTTCAATAGTATTACTGCCAAAACTGCGTTTCGTGATAACATTATAAATGGTTGAAATTGTATAAATTGTCATTGACACGTCACTGTTTCGAGCTTTGTAACAGTTGTTGTACCTTGCAAAAATACGTACTGTAATATATGATAGGAAAGGAACGATCAACAAGGTAATGTGAAGTTCACTGACAACCGAACAATATCCAGTCACACGGGACTACAGGTAACAGAGTTTTTTCATTTATTACAAAATGTTATGATTACATGTTTAAATAAAGCACATTATATCTATTTACAACTAAGTCGGTGTTAGTGGTCGAGGATGGAAATTTGCGTTGATCACTGTGAACCGCCTTTTTCATACAACGTAAGGCTGCATGATTTCAAGCTACCGTGTTGTGATCAGGATCAGGATCAAAATAAAAAATCTAAATAATCTTCCTTGTTTATCCTTAGAGATTAAATATTCAGCATTAAGTTGATCTTGTTCCTAAACTTGACCCCTATTTTGTACAGATTACTATTGTAGTTGTAATGTTATTACTCAGTTTAAACCCAAAATAAGATTATTTCTTTTTTAAATAAGCATTTATATCGTTTTGTGTATGTTCCGTTCAATTTTTCTCTAACACGATAACTTTTAATTTCATAAAGCAATAAAAAAATGGATCATTTGGTCCTTATCCAATTTTATTTAAGTCAACTAAGGGTTTTCCTCTTGCATATTAGCTTTCTCAGTATTGTTATTTCTTTTACAATTTAAATTTGAGCATATTCTAATAGATCTGTTTCCAGAGAACACGCTTGGTTCTAAGCTTTAAGTTGGTGAATACTAGTGCTAGTTTTTTTATTTTTTGCTTAGACAGATTATTCTTTAAGACATGAGCATCATAAAGTACTTGACAAGGTGGTGATGCCTTTTATTACTATTTTAAGTACCAAACGTATCAGCATAACAGTTCCTTTGAAGCTGAAGAGTTTTAGAATTTAATAAATGAGCTACACATTGAAGAGTCTACTAAACTACACCGGTGAATGCATACAATGCAGGATCTTGATGCGAAATTCGATGAATCGCCATTTGGCCACCGGCTTTTTATCACATCTCTGTGTAGTTGTTAAAGGAAAAATATGTATAACCTAATGTCATATATTTTGCATAATCAGCAAATAACGTTTTTGTGCATTTGCTTATTGCGTTCACACTTTATGACTAATAAAGTAGGATGTGCTTGACATCGAACAATCGAGATTTTTCGTAGAAGAAATTTTTTTAATGATTTAAGAAAGTATAATCATTGGCGTTTGTTGAACGGCAACTTCCTTGTAATCTAAATAAAAGGACGCGACAAAAGATTTTGTACCACAGTTGTTACATTCGCCATATCCGCAAATTTTCGTGAGCGATCGGTTTTGAGGAGACAAACAAAATGGTAAGGTTTATAAATCATTTATTGTTTTTCAATTTATTTATATGCAAGATATTTAACTAAACAAGTGTATTTTTGAGAATATTCTGAGGCATAAATACCTTTGCTGGCACTAAATATCTTTTTTCTATGTTTGCGCTGAAGTGCCTTTTACAGGTCAAATAATGTTGAACATCACATTTATGATATACAATGTAGAAGTTACAGGATCTTTATTTATTTATTTATTTATTTATTTATTTATTTATTTATTTATTTATTTATTTATTTATTTATTCATGTATTTATTTATTTATCTATTTATTTGAATTCGGGTGCGTTATGACCTGAGCAATATAATGGTAATATAAAATCAATATCATATGGCAATATAATAACAATATAATAAGAATTAAGGCAAATAACTTCTAAAAAGCAAATTTTGTGTACTTTTGTGTAGTCAACTAGGAGACTGCATGTCTTGGTGTGTTTATTTAGGCAAACGGTTTTTAACACTTAAGTCAGAGTACTGATTTTTATCTATTTATTTATTTATTCATTTATTTATTTGAAATTGGGTACAAGCTTAAAATCGTTCTGACCTGAGCAATGTAATGGTAATATTATAATAATTATTATATGGCATTATAATGCAATATAAAAATAATTTAGGGAAGTAACTTCTGAAAAAAGCAAAGTTTGTGTAATTTGTGTTGTCAACTAGAATATTGCACTTTAAGGTAATTAATTAATTTATTATTATAATCACTTAGGTGATACTTTTAATCATATTTGCTACAATTATTTTAATTTCTATAGACATATACATGTTCTATCTATTTTAAGATTTGTTATACATGTCTATCCATATAAGGTATATGTTGTTTATATTGGAACTGAGACAAGTAGATTTTGAGGATCATACTTGATTGGTTTTTGATGTTCATGTATAAATTTGCTTACATTGTAATTTATTTAATATTTACGTTCAATGCTTGAATTGGTGTAGTGATTCGAATATTTCATTATGAATGTATCACAAAAAATCATCAATAACTGTTAATTTCAATCTACTATTAGTATGATTATTAACTTATGGTACAAACAAATACATGTGTATGAAATACTGAAAATTGTATCATAGTTTGGGGACCTTTCTGTTGAAAATGTGACAGAGTTAAATCGTATACATAACATGCACAGTGCGTTAACTGGAGTGCAGGTATTAGTTACCCGTACTCCAGAGCATGCCCATTGATTTGTTCACTTTGTCCGGGGTTTACATATTGTGTCGACAGAGACAGGGATAGCGATGAAAATGTCATATTTAGATGCTCGTTCACTGGTTACTTTTTTGTGGCGTTCGATATTGTGGTATCAGGAAACGTGTTTTTATGGTTGACTATGATACAAAAGAGAAAGAGTATCAAAACACCTGTCAATCTGATTTATACTCGGGGGCTACGCATTCAAATACAGGCTGGCAACTATAAAATTATAAAATAAAATTTCACAAAATTATTGAATCTATTTCACTTTCCGCTGAAAATCATGTAATCAATGTATGATATTTCTAGTTATGTTTAAGCAAAATCGTACTTGGATGTAATTCTGTTATTTTTTAGAAATAAAATGTATGACATGGAACAATGGATAAGCAACAATATCATTCAAGATAAATATTGTCTAATTGTCGTGTTGCACTAAATGTGACTAAAGAAATTTAACTTCCAAATATATATAAATAATAACTTTATCATGAATCTTTAAGTCCATCAGAACTTGAGAGAAATCTAAAGAAGGTTCTTTAATTGAAGTTGCATATTTTGGAATTTTATACTCTTGCAACCAAACAGAAGAAATAGAATGAAACATTTCTTAAATATCGGGATATGAAAATGTTTTGGTCTTTTTTGTTTGTTCATCCCAGAGCTCAACTTTCTGTTTCAGAATCCTAAGCTCCTTATTATTTTGCTTGCTTGTCTTTGGTATGTAGATGGTTGTGACAGAACTTGTCACGGTGGTTCTCACAACTGTAACAACAAGCAGAAGAGGGAAATGGAAACATCTACAAACATACAACTGGTACGATATCAATTATCATTTTAACAGTATTTTACCGTGGTATACCGTATGATAATATAATTTGAACAATTACTTATATGAGATACTGTTAATTTCTTCATTTATTTATGCAACAAGCGGTGAAAATATTACGAATTTAGAAAAAACGAGTAGAAGAACTAGATTATTGAACGTAATTCTTACAAATGAATTTGATCTAGTTATTGTAATGAATCATTTATGTTATTTCTATTCATAACCAAAAAAAAATAATGTATTTGAACGCGCCATCCTCACTCCCTCCATTTATACGATTTGCACACATTTCATTTCTTAAAATCATACTTTTTTCTGCAGGTGGGGTCCAAATACACCGTCAAGCTACCAGAAAACCCATGCCATTTTAATACGTACGATGCCGACCATGATGGCAAAATAAGCGAGGGAGAACTGTTTGGTGTTCTTGGTATTGACAAGATACCAGTATCTGTGTTGAAGGATCTTGATGTAGTGACAGGTCTGACTTTATTTAATTGCTTTAGATGAAGATTAAAGGGTATAATGCTTTATCTAATGACATATATTTAAAAAGTATACTACAAACAAATTATGTTTCTATTCAGTTATGGTCGACTCTCGGAAGAGTTTTTATCATAAACTGTCTCTATTATTTAAAAATCGTTAAAGTTGTATTTGAATAGAACAAAAGGTTCCAGTACAAAAGTGTATGCTTGTATGGTTTCAATCGCAAAGCAATAACGCAATAACATTGTTCGCAGTTTCCTTTACAGGAAAATTAGTTAAATTACAAAATACCAACAAAGTTCATGAATGTTTTGTGAGTATTCTTTTTCAAAATTTAGACAATGATTTTGTAGACTTCCTACAGCAGATAAATAGCTCTATTCACTTTCAAAACACGGAACTTTATTACAAATAATTCACAATGAATTTTAAAGTAATATGCAAAGAAAGTAAAAAAAGTAAACAGAAATGGTAATTAATAAATAAATGTATATCGTTAATATTTTACTAAAGATACAGATACATGGGTTATGAAAATATTTGCATAATTTTCTAACAGAATCTATTAAACCAGTAGTATCATATATGTCCTTTTTTGTTTTTTCTTCTCACTTTCATGGCTGTTTAACATTTTTTATTTCCATCCATTTCCATCTGTTTTTACATTTTTATAAAATAAAATATTATGTGACAAATGTTTGTGTCCAACAAAACATTTCGTTTTGGAAATATCATGAATCCTAAAGAATGATTTTGTTTGACAAGTTCATTTCTATTCAAATTACTGTTATCTTTTACAGATCATGGAGTTATAACAAAAGAGGCATTTGACGCCAAAGTATCTCAAGTAATACCTCAATGTGGGCGTTCTGATTAGTTCTCACATTGACCATTGTACCGGATATACAGACTGTTTCCCGTTTATGCATCCATGAAAATAACTATGAACTAACATGATTTTTTAATGAATTACATGTTACATTGTAACATTTTATAAAAAATATCATTGAAACAATTTAATTTACAATTTACAATTCAATATTCACACATCCACAATATTGTTAGAATAACAGATACATTTGTGGTGTCGTCACTGAGTGAGAGTTATACACTAATTAAACATAAATCATCTGATGATCATTTACCTTTTCCAATAAACATGTTGTACATAAAATCAAATAAAGCGGTGCAGATATAATACCGATTTTTTGTTTGTTTTATCTCTTGTTTTGACAATGCCTTGTTCCTTTCTATATCATGGTTAGTAAATAACATGAAAAATGTGGATGCATGCAAAAAAAAAAAACAGAACAATGTGTGGTGTAATTTTGAGAATAAAACAAAGATACAAATTTATGTTAATAATATATTTATTCATCTGGAAACAGAGTCAACTATGGTTATATATGAAGACTTTAAAATGAATTATACAATAATTATCATAGTTAAGCTTTAAAAACGTGTATATACAAGAGAATGTAAATATTGCACAATTCAAAGGAAAACAACAAGGAACTGTAACATGGTTGCTATTAAGGGGTGATCTATTTAAAATCAACAAAAAAGCGTCAAGAAAAATTGAAAAGCACGTGAATCATCTGGATAGTTTCTCATATACATAGGTTTTCTTGATCTATACCTATACATTGTTCCTAAAAGCTTCTTCAAGTTTTAACAACGTCTCTTTAGCATAAGTTTTGTTTTAAACCCGACATTGCTTTTAGTCTAAGAGAACGATACCCCACCGTATAGAAATGTGCAAAGCATAGACAGCTTCAGCCCAGTTGAGATATGCTTATATGGTATATTTTATTGTTACTTCAATCAAATTTTATGCCTGTTTTGTAGATTAACCAACCCAATGTCGTATTTACACATTATATACATATTCACAATTGACTTAGTGTGTAAAATGGCCTTGTAAGTACCAGTATAAAACAAAACTACACATTTTTGGTCTGTTTACAAAAGACAACTTTATTTCTTGAAGGATCATGCTATATGCTTTATCATTAATAAATGGGTTATGAATGTTAAAATTCCAGTGGTTCTTAGTACACATACCGCATATAATTGGATACGTTTGTGTTGTATAATAATTCGTTATTTGTAAAGTTTCACTTTTGTGAAATCTACTGTAATTTCACACCTTTTTGTGAACAGGAGAGCAAATAAACTATATTGCTAAAAATATACTTGAACAACAAATGGCGTCTCAACAAATACACAGGTTGCATAGCAAACTGGTGCTGTTGCCCACACGGCGTCCGTCCGTTATTTTTATTGGTTTTGTAGGATTTTTGAAAGCACCAGTGTCAAAGACTTTCTTCATTTCTGCAGTCATTGTCATAAAAGCTTGTTCAACGTTTGTTGCAGTTTTTGCACTTGTTTCTAAATACGGAATGCCCATCTCATTTGCAAATTCCTAGCGTAAGACAAAGGTTTGTTTAAATGTAGATGAATATCGAAGCATGTATTTTTATTCCTTCTTTACTCAGGGATTTGCTTTTTTGTAGGTTGTAGAAGGTTTGAACTTGCTAATGTCTCTTAACCAATGTCATTAAAAATAAAAATCAGTGTTAATTTATAAAACAACTACAACATTGGATAAAGCATACACCGAGTGATAGGACGGTAAAATAAATACAACGAACATACCTGTGTCATTTCATAAGTAACATCTCGCTTGTGTTTCAAGTCCGATTTATTACCGACAAGCATTTTGGCAACATGAATTCCACCAAATTTGTCAATTTCATTTAACCAGTTCCGAATTTTTTGAAAAGATTCCTAAAAAGAAATCCTTTTAGATTACTGCTATTTAATTTACTCATCTGATCAGATTTCATTATAATTATTATTATTATTATTATTATTATTATTATTGTTGTTGTTGTTGTTGTTGTTGTTGTTGTTGTTGTTGTTGTTGTTGTTCTAGAATATTATAAATACAGTACGTGTTCGTTTAGGCATGCTTTTGTTAAATTCTTACCATGTCGGTAACATCAAACCCCAGGATGACACCATGCGCCCCTCTGTAAAACGCTGATGTTATTGTTTTAAATCTCTCTTGCCCAGCTGTATCCCACTTACATAGATGAAAAAATGTTAACGACCCATTCTAGACAACTTAAAAATGTGGAAACGTCCTCTCATGTAAAAGAACGGGTAAAAATTGTTTTGATATCACACATGAATTGTAAATGAAATGATAAACAGTTGTATATAACAAGATTTTTATTGTCTTGATCATAACATGTTTGAAGTTATTGACAATATAATGGTAGTTGCAGTTTTTCGTATATAGATAACCTTTTTCAAAAGAAAACTGTGATGGTGTATTAATGTAAAATAAAATATAAAAAAATGTATACGTACCATATTCAATTTTATAACTTTTTCATCCATTTCGATTGTCTTGATTTTCTACAACAATAACATATATTTTTGTACAAAACAGCTGAAGAGTATGAATATTTGAGGAAAAAAAATGTGAGTTCTTTTTAAATTGTAAATATAAAAGAAAAGAAAAAACGAAGAAAGCACGAAAGTAAAAAGAATACATTATGTAAATTATGTCACAGACCTCTTTTCCCGTATCGAGTTAAAATTGTGATTTTTAAAAGCAAGATAAAAACGTAGTCATTAACACTGGGAAAAAATCACGTCAGCATACTTCATGGCAAAATTCACAAAACTTAACAAGGACCTTGTTTGAAAGCAGACAATTAATACAAGGTTCAGGGTGAGTTAGTTTTTGATATGTTCAATACAATAAAAGTTTGTTTGCATATTTAAAAAGCGTCATTTAATTCATTTAAGGACACTTACAAAATCTACACCAATTGTACTAATGTAGTGATCTGAGAATTCGTCGTCCTGAAACAATGAAAATAACAGTAAAATGACTAAAATCTTTGGAAAGTATTAAACTATTCCGTTTAGAGTTTATAATTATAAATGTGTCACAACATGCATATTTGTTTCATCAATTTTAAATGTCGTATTTTAAGTAAATATATCTTGCGTTATGCTGTTCTTTGTTTTACTTTAAATGTATTAAACTAACATCAATGTTGGTGAAAACTATTTGCTTATTTGAACAACTTTAAAGCTAGCCAATGCCAATATATATAAAGCTTAAGTGAGGAAGGAAGGAAGGAAATAAGGTTCAATCAAACACTCATGTATTGTCACCTGCTTTATTGCAGAAATAAATTTTACATTACAAAGAAATTTATAAAAATATGTATACACGGTACTTACGGCATATCTTAACAACAGACATGATTTCCCGACGCCGGAATCGCCAATTATCAACATCTTAAACAACAGATCACTAGAAAAGAAAAAAACAATGATCAATATAATTACGAAACAGTTAATCACTAATAGGAAAATGGCAAAATGCATGTACATGTACCTAAAATACTTGTGGTATTGAGAGATAGCTAGTCATCGTCAGTGTTCGTAACATATTAATTCCAACATGACTTAAATGAGCGAACGCAGGGTAACTTTTCAGTTCCTAGTCAAAAGCCTTTTCCCTAAATTATCATTTATTGTTCGAAATTCTGGCAACATATTATACTTGGCAGTAAATTTCCAGTTTTTCGTTTGCTTAATGTAATGTATTCAAAAAAGAGAGAATATATTGAATGTTTGAAGAACTTTTTACTCACTTGAACAACTATATATTTGAAAACAATTATATATTATGTAAAATTTTAGGTTTGCAAGTGATTAAAATGTAAACAATATCAAACACTTACTTGTTCAAGATACTCGTATCATGATTAATAGAAGTTGTCATTGTCATTAATTGTCAGTTAAATGAACCAAAAATTTTAAATGCTTAAATAATCCGATGTAAAGTTACCAAACTGAATAAAAGGGACTGTATTACTCATGTTTAAATAGTGTTTATATGTGTCATGTTTTAAAAGATCAAAGATCAACCCTTTACGATAAATGCCCCCCCCCCCCTCTCCCAAATTAAATAAACTTTAACGCAAAATAGGACAGCGTGGCTTATATGATACCATTTCTAAAATTAGACATTATTAGACATTTGACAATCTTTATCATCAAAAACAGTATACTTACCTTGATTGTGATAATAACTTTAACCTGACCTTTTACTATTATTTTTCCTCTTTTTTATTATATCTAACGAAAGAATTTTATTAATTTTAATGTAATGTTACATTTTCAATAATTTAGTTTGTAATATTTGTTTTGTGAGATTTCCTAATGGTATATGTTCATTAATTTAGTTTGTAATAGTTGTTTTGTGAGATTTCCTAATGGTACATGTTCATTAATTTAGTTTGTAATATTTGTTTTGTGAGATTTCATAATGGTATATGTTCATTAATGTAGTTTGTATTGTTCCTAATGGTGCATGTTCATTAATTTAGTTTGTAATATTTGTTTAGTGAGATTTCCTCACTTAAGTTAGGAACGAAAGAAATGTGACTAAGAAATATTATATTACTAAATGAACGCGAAAAGGATATCACTTTTCACAACATCTACAGTATGAGTAGCAAAAGAGTATTTAAGATCCTATAACACAATTTTTATGGTTTTATATCATAAATATGATGCTCAACTTAAGATTAATCAATTTCGTAAGTTCCAAAAAGCATTATTTATAAAGATATTACCGAATTTAACATGTCATGTAAATAAAGGGAGGTAATAAAAAAAAATATTTTTTATAAAGTCTAAATCAATTTATTCATCTCCAAAACCGCTGGGGTGAAGGGGGGCAGTGAAACTTTAAAGGATTGTTTGTCGCCATGCCTAGTTGTGCATAGTATCTTGATGTTCAGCTTGATTTTTTTGCACAGTTATGACCCCTTAATGGTCAATTTTTAGTCAAATAGACTTGTCCGCGCTTCATCTCCAAAAGCGCTGGGAGATTTTCAGTGACACTTCAGAGGATTGTTTGTCACCGAGCTTGGTTGTGCATAGTTTCTTGATTGTTCAGTAAATTAACTTTGTTCATCCTTCATCTCGAAAACCACTTAAGAAATTTCAATGAGTATTTATAAAATTGTTTGCATGGTGTCATGATTTTCCAAGCCTAGTTGTGCATTGTGCCATGATTTTGTGCATTTTTTTTCGCACATTGGTGATTTTTTTTTTTGTAAAATTTATTTAGACTATTTCTCCTACATTTCTGATATTTGTTAAAGGCGGTCGGGCGTATATTACCAGAACAGAAACAGAACAGAACAGAAACTTTATTACTTGGTTTAAGCATAAAAAGCTCATCACCATATTAAATATACAAAAACAACATATAATACATAAATGACACATGACATGAATATATATAATTACAAAATAATGGTTTATGTGATGTGAGAATGTTTAATTTGAGATACGAAATTACTTAAAAAGCATATGAATACATGTATATAATACACAAGAATTTGCCTATCTTTACCAAACATTATCAATTTAAGCTACAATACATTTTCTTCTATGTGAATACAAAAAAGCAAACTGACAAATGAAGGGGGATAACTTAGGTAACTTTACATAACCAGTATTTTAACATTTACTTCCCCTTAATAATTCATGATCAATATTAATAGAATTCATTTCTATATGAAAAATGAATACATTTACTGATTTTGTACGTTTTTTTATATATATAAAGAAAAGAAAAACCCACACAAAACAGACCAATACCCAAAACAACTAACACTTGACTTAATTATAAGGATTAGTTTTGTCAAAACATTTTATCATGGTATTTATATTTGGTTATGTGTTGAAAAACAGATATAGTTAATTTGAGAAGATACAAATATTAATAAATAAATAGAAAAATATATGTAATATATCGTATATGTATATATGTACAATTTCATATTCACATATAACTTAACAAATCTACATGATGAATATACAATGCGCATTTAACAGTTACAATGATACTTTTTTAAATTTTTTTTAAACAACAGAAAAAAAAACAGAGAAAGAGAGCAAAGCTTACATGTCAGTATATTATAACAAACTATCCCTCAATTTAAAAGCTTTATCACAGAATATAGCTAAATTTTTCAGTTCTTTCTTGCGACCAGTTTGCATTAATGAAATGAATTTAAACATACTTGTGTTGCAATAATAGTATCTTGGAATGTATTGCTTTCTTAACTCAGAATATATCGGACATTTAAGGATAAAGTAAAATTCATCTTCTATATCATTCATATAACATAAAGTGCACTTTCGTTCATTCCTTAATACATTATTATGTCTTCCTAACTCGATATTAAGTTTGTGTGAGGAGAGTCTTATTTTTGCTAAAACATTTCTATATTTTACATTTTCAATATATTTTATATATAACGATTGTTCAAATGTGATCTTATATTCCCTATATACATCTAACAATGATGAAGATTGAATACCATCATTCCAACAACTTATATAAATATCCCGTAATCTATTCCTAAAAATAGGTACAAATAGTTTTATATTAACAGAATCGGGATATAACCAGACTTCATTAAATCCTGCTGACTGAAGAATGTTTTTAACTTTTGAAGCCCAGTTTGCTGAACAATTTACCACATTAACATCATATATCTGTCTACACAATATTGTTCTCAATATACAATTATCTTTTTTACTTGTATTTAACTTAAGAAAATATTTAATCATACGAATATGCCTTTCAATGTAAAGAGGAAATCTCCCAAATTCTGCATATAAAGCCAAAGTATTTGTCGACTGTTTAACATTTAAAATAAACCTACAAAAAATTTTATGTACTCGTTCCAAAACTTCTGCATTCATAAACCCCCATACTTCACAGCCATAATTTAAAATTGATAAAACATAGGCGTCAAAGAGATTAAACATAATGTTAACTGGTATGTTGGCATATATTGCGGATTTTATGTCAAAGCTTTCTTTCGTTTTATTTTCATCTAATAGCATATTCAAATTACTAAATAGAAGTAATCAATCGATCAATTCATAGATCTACCACAAAGAAGAAAAAACATTTGTTATAATTATGAGTTTGCCAAAATTTAAACGTTATACATATAAACGTTAGAAATGGATTCCATATCATTTCATTTTGTATTTTTATCCCAACATTTGCGTACAACATCTGCTATGCAGTATTTTAATTGGACAAAGTTCTGCCGAGGGTGAAAATGAATTACTTATAGAGAAAATGAAATCCACTTAAAAAATAGGGTATATCCCAAACGATAAGGGTTTCCCGAAACCGGAATTCCGGATATTGGCAATCCCGATCACGTGAGGCCACGTTGGGAGGTGACGTCATGCATAATATTAGAAATTGGCCACCTAGCGGAGAAGTAGTAAATCGGAAGAAGAAGCCATATTGGAAAATAGGAGGGCAGAACCCGATAAAAACAGAGACATTAAGTGTGATTTCTGTTCATAAAAATCAACCATATTCAGCTTCATTAGAGTGCCTCTCCTGTAAATCAAATTAACAATGAATCCAGAATAGTAAGTAAATCGAAAAGTAATGAAAATAACCTTTTTGCGATTGACAACACGTCATCAACGGATAAGTCGCAAAAACTTGTCCGGTTATGTCAAAATTTTCATTAAGAATGAATATATCTCTATGTCTACGTGTCAGATTGAATGGCCGAGCTTGATTTATTATCGTAAATATGTGTTTGTAAAGGGTAGTGTTCATTCAACGAAATTGAAAGGAATCCTGGTCAGCTCGGCCCTAAAACATACTCGGCCCCCGAGTCAGCTCGGCCCTATTCCAACTCGGCACGGGTCAACTCGGCCATCTTTTAAAAATGGGAAAAGGACATCAAAGGACTCCTATATATTGCCACGGGCTATTATTATCAATCAATGTGTATGTTAAAGCTTGGATATAATATTGTATGTCCCAGGTTAAAGATGTCGATTAATTAAGTGATAATTACGATTGACTTATTCATTCAAATTTGATTAGTGACCACCTGCAATTTATTAGAAGCTTATGCTATTAAGTAAACACGTTTTTGTGTCATATTTTTTTGAAAATTACTTTACAAACAAAATGCATCTAATAATAATAATAACGATAATCGTGCCTATGTCTTTATTAATTTTATCAAATATGCAAGACAAATAATTTATTAAATAACTTATTGAAAGTTGCATCTACGCCGCATTTACCCCACCCACTTGTCAGTGAAAGACTGAAAGAGGAAATGGGGTTTCTTTGATACTGGTGTTACTTACTTATTGAGTATGCATTTTAAATTTAATTATTGAGTGTGTAGATGATGCTTTTATTTGGAACAGATCTTTTTGATGCATTATCACAAAATTCAGTAAAATTTTGAAGCATGTCAATAAGGGGTGTCAAGTTAACCAAATGCTAACCCAGGGTTCTCGGTGACGCTTATTTCAGCGTCCTGGTATGCTTGTTTATTACAGCTGGACGCAAATATTTCAGAACAAGGATTCCCATACTCTTAATTTTGCCTCGAGAAGCATAAACATTACCGATTGTTTACAACCAGAAATGCGTGAGCGCGTGTCAGTCTAAAGATAAGCGGCCCAATGCACATCAAACAGTGAAGCGATTATTAGCCAATCAGCGATAACGCTTTCGATCATTATCACGCAATAGCAATCAGATTAATGAATTTGATCCCCAACATCGGCGAATTCATATTCGCCAGAAACCCTAAAATTTCGCAAAGGGCACAAAAATTCTAAGTTTTAAGCCAAACATGTGAATGAACTGTTCCTTTGTTATTTAATCAACATTTTAAATCTTTAAATATATTCAATTTGTCCCCCTTTGAAGATATTTGCTAAAATAATTGTCGGTCGGATGAATCTCTTACACACTGTGTGAAGCAGTACACGATTTTCCTATTCACTCCGCTAAACGCTGACTATATACATTTACGTTTTTTACAAATCTTTAGAGTGGACTTGTTTAACCAGAATAAAATTTGATTTGGTATAAAAGTGAAAAAAAACAAAAACGATTACCACGTTGTTTCAAATTAATGTACATATATGATAGCATACATGTATATATGCTCTTTTGAGTAGACATTCTATTTTGATCACATAACACATATTTATTTGAAATCCAATATCATGTTGACATATCATATATATATATCAGAAATAAAAACAGATTTTTCTTTAATGCTTTGTTTCATTACTGTGTTGATGCATTATAGTTTTATTGTTTCATAATAAATATTAACAACAAAACAATAATTATACTGTCACTGTGTAGTTCAGAGTTTGTTTTGAATAACTATAAACTTTGAAAGTCTTTTGGAAGATTCAAAATATCAGCAATGCTATTGTGAGCATTAAATGACTAAGCTGTAAACATATTAATTGCGACGCGCTTTTGGACTCCAACTTTTTCAGGCTTGGGAGTCCATGGACTCCATGCTTTAAAGTCCTAGTGAGAACCCTGCTAACTTTTTTAACAATGACCTAATAACCATGTTTTTAAACATTTTACAGACCATATGATATTTAAAGAACTTTTAGATTTAAACGTTAGCTTTGTTTCTTTATGACAAGACATGACATTTAGTTGCCCTGGCTTCCTAAGTGAACCAGGTATCAAAAAAATATTTTCAGAGTCGCTCATCCTATAGGACGAGTAGCTTCTAAATCCAGTGTGTGCAGGCAACATTTTTCTACTTGTCCTGCATATAAAGTTCTCTTAAATTCTGCAGACAAGTGGAATTTTTGATTTATGTGAACCTCCAAATCATCTTTCTCATTTCTCTGAACATTAACCTTGATGGATATTATTTAAGGAGTTAAATGATTATTTATGTTTGGCTAAATTGAATGAAAGAAAACATAAAAATGTACACCTCGCCCTGGCTTCTATTATAAAAAATGAACATTAACCCTTTCACTTCCATAGGGACGGCTTATGCCGTCCCTGTTTTTTTCGGCGTATTTGCCATATGGACGGCTTTTGCCGTTTCTATAATTATAATAATAATAAATTAATAATAATACTAATAAATATAAAAAAATTTTACCATCAACAATAATTGTTATTATACTAGCAGATTTGGAAACATATATAATTATTATAATACTAATAACAAATAATAATAATTATATTTATTAATAATATAGTAATTTCTTAGAAAACCCTCTGGCAAATAGGTGATCAATAAAACAATAACCCTCTGGCAGTGAAAGGGTTAACTGTGAACTATCCAATTCGCCCCACTTGCCCCTCACTGCTTTGGCTTTGAATCCCGACAGGGACATTGGATTCTTACATGTGAGGAAGCTATCCAGCTAGCTTACGGAACGTCGGTGATTCTACTCAGGTGCCCGTCTGTGCCTGAAATAATACACGGAAGGGCTCCTGAGGTCTTTCTCCACCAGTAAAGCTGGAATGTCGCGATATGACCTATACTGTGTCGATGTGACGTAAAACCCAAAACAAACAAACAAACTCTGAATATAAAAGGACAAAAGTTACACAAACATATTTTTATGGGCATAAATTTTTAATCAGACTGGGAATTTTTTATGGATAGAAACATATTTATATATATGCTAAATTGCTGAATTAATTACTAAAAAATATTAATTTTACTTAAAAATGGTATGTAGCAGTATTATATGGTACAAGTCTTCATTTTGTCAATCACAGCTTTCATTATCTTAACTTACTACTACTACATGAGTTTTTGCCTGATATAAAGCAAGGTGGGGCACCTGAAGTATTCCTTCCAGGTACTGCTGGAAAGTCGCTTTGTGACTTTTTAAGTGTTAGATTGGCTTAAAATCCAACAACAAAAATCAACAATTGTATCAAAGGTAGAATACATTTTTTTGAGAGAAATAATTCTTCAGCTTTATTTTGCCCATGACATAAATGTACACTTATATATTTCATTTCAGTGATTATTTGTTCAAGCTGTTACTTATTGGTGACTCAGGTGTAGGAAAGTCATGTCTGCTACTCAGATTTGCAGTAAGTATGCTTTGATTAACAGATTAAGACTTTTCTACTACAGTATAAATTATTAAATAGACTAAATTTAGATTGGTTAATGATAAAAACGTTACTAGTCATTAACATTAAAATGTTCAATAGTTGTAAACACTTATCTGCATCTACTTAGCAGTGTCTCATTGCATCTTAAAGCTGAATCAAGTGAGTTTCTATGAATATAAAGCATTTTGAATGTTTGATTACATGTTATTTACCTTAAATAAAATGAAATCTGTATGTCACATGTTGTAAAATATCTATATGTATAGATTGTTGTTATGACGCTTCTTGTTGATCTTGTGTATTAGATAGGTAACTATTTAATTTTCTACTCTTCAGGATGACACATACACAGAAAGTTATATCAGCACTATAGGTGTAGACTTTGTAAGTATTAACAAACCTTCTTATCTAGTATTACATATAGAAAAAATTTATTTAATTAATTATTATTAATTGTTTATTTAATTTGTCATTGCAAAATTTTCCATGTTTGACAACACTACCATATTGTGAGAGTTCTGATGCAATCTGATTTTAAATGATTTGCTAACATATCATTTATTTGTTTATTAGACTGTAATGGTACGTATCTTACATCAAGCTACTTCATAATATTTGCCTCTTAAAACTTTGTGGTAAATTGTTTGAAAAGTTTTTTGATTTTAAAGTATGCATTTAGTCTACATGTTATTTTTTGTTAATCTTTTTTTTTCCTGTATTTCAGAAAATTAGAACTATAGAATTAGATGGAAAAACTATAAAGTTACAAATTGTAAGTTGTTTTTGTTCTTTCTTATTTGTCAAGTTTTATTGTGAAAAATGTCTCTTTACTATCATTACCCCTTACTATACTTAATATCTTAAAAGAACTTGCCCATCTTTTACTCTGAACAAAACCATTTATCATTTTAGGGAAACATTTCACAATATGAAGTGACTGAATAGAGAACAGTGCAAACCATGATCTTGGTCTGCACTGGTCACATGTAGAATCACAAACTCTTCACAGACATTATCTCCCTTGGCTGATTGTAATCACTGCCTTACAGATGTCACATGATGATGAAAGTCACATGACGTTACATAAAAATTCAATTGTAAATTTTGACCGTTACATAGAAAATGTAACATCATTTTTCGCCTTTCTGTTTTATTTTTTTTTAACTTTTCGTACCTACGTTTGTTAATTTTATAGTTCATCAAAAAATTATCAAAAGAATAGAAAATAATGAAAAATAAATTCAAAAGCTAAAAAATATGAAATAACAAAATATTGTTAAACTGATCACTGTGTAGGAGATTGGTAGAATCAGTCAGGAGTTTATATTGTGACTTTTTATTTCTGCCAGTATCAATTCTGTGTATGAAGATGCATTGTTTCATGTAAGTAACCTATTAGCTAACTTGCAGAAAGACAATCTGATTAAAATCAGCTTCTAAATAACATTACGCATTAAGATCTGAAGATCACCAATAGGCTGTCATCTTCGATCCTTCAAACAGCCAATCATCGGCCATCTTTCAAAATTTTGAAAGTGATGTGTTTTCTAAAAGGTAATTTTAACGATTCCGAGAACAAACATTGCATGGTCCATATACTTATAGTGTGCAAGTTAACCAGCAAAATTGTCTTGCCCATTAAAATTGAGTCTATTATTTCCCGTTTATTTGTTTTATATTACTTCAGACATATTATTTTAACAAAAATCAACAATTTGTTTTACTACCACAAACTATGATAGCAATGATGTTTTTGTTACAATGTTAATGTGCTTAGTCTCAATAGTAAAAAAAAGACCAAAATATATCAACACAAAATAGTTGGAATCCATTTGTTTGTCTACATACTTTACAAAAAGAAAAAAGCATTTTTTATCCAAAATTTGTGATACATTAAGTTGTTAGATTCTGTCTGGCTTGTTTAAAGCATAATTCAGTGTCAGATTAATGTGGATTGATAGTTTGGTAACTTTAGCAGTTATTTTAGTTACTATAACAGTTATTAGAGATAGATTTTCTTCATGAATACTAGACTAAATATATATAAATATGTGAATGTTATTTGTGATGCGAAGGTTTGATGTATTCTCAAACTGTTGACAGAGTTAATTCTAGGATAATAAAGCCTGTATTGCAAGCCTGATCAAATTTCTTTGTGTACAGTACAGCTTTATAAATTTCTACAAAGTTCTCCCTTCCCAACAATTTTTTACGAGTCGCGGTGATATTTGTGACTTACTGCCCAGATGTATGGTTTTGTATCGACACAAGTTTCGCACATTGGACTGTGTTGCTGTAAAGTATTTGTTGTCAGGCTATTTAGCAACCAAAGTTCAATAGACACAATTAATCACATACTTAAGTTCAATTGTAATAGATAAAGATTTTAATATGATGTAGTTACTTATAGTTAATTACTAGTATTGATATAGATCACTCACTTTGAACCGGCTGCACAAGTTAAGTGACTGTATAGCAAACAGTGCAGACGATGATCAGACAGTACAGTACCATGGTGGCATGGTTTAGTTGCCATTAGCAGGCTAAAGGTTCAAGTGTTTATGTAACTTAAAAAGTTAGTTGAGTATAAACTCACTTTGCTGCTTTCTAATTGTTGGCTTCCGCGCCAAAGTGTGACACCCTTTATGGAATGTATTCAGATTCCATGAAAGGGTAATCGCCCTTTCCCTCAGTCTTAGCCGAGGATGTTCTGATTTGTGAAAGGGTAGTTGTTGTTAAATGTTTTTTTTTTTAAACGAAAGCGGTCTTTCATGTCGCCCTATGGTAATAAATTAACTGTAGAATTTTTGAAAGAATAGATTACCAATTGTAAAGCTCGATCTGTAAGTGTTATGCATAAAATCCACTGCAGCAACTTGGTTAAAGACATATTGCATGTATATCAATCATGACTTGCATATGACTTGATTACAGAAGTTAGGTAACAATTGAACCTTTACTAGTGTTTTGCAGTCATAGCATTTATATTGAATTTGCAAGGGTATATTGTATGACCTACCATGATGCATATATTTACAGTGGGATACAGCTGGCCAGGAAAGATTCCGAACTATTACATCCAGTTACTACAGAGGTGCTCATGGTATCATTGTTGTCTATGACGTCACAGACCAGGTATGTATAAAACATGTGATAACATATTGAACCTTTTCCCATATTTGGATATTAATCTGTATGTTGTAAAGTTTAGGGATTTTAATATCAATTTGCTGTTGGTTTAGTTTGAACAAACTGGCGCAGATGAGGATGTCTTGTATCTCTGCTAGAATATTCAAAATGTTGCAAGTTTAAAACATCTTGATCATTAAAAAGTGATGGAGTATTTCTTATTTTAAAGGATGAACATAAGTTAATATGAATTTTGATTGACAGTGTGAAAATAGATGTTCTATACCATTAACCCACATAGTGTAAAAAGTCTGTAAGAGAGGACTTTGTTAGCCTGACCGAAACTTTCAGTAATTTCTATGCGGACCACAATAATAGTCATAGACTCTTCACTTCTGGATAAACCCACCATTTTAACAGATAATAACAAAAATTTGTTTTTCATGAAAAAACTGTTTAAAGGTATGGGTAATATTATTTGAAAAATAAAACTTTTTTGCAAAAATGCTCATGAAGAAAAGATTCATAAATGTGTACATTTTGTGAGAACATGTTTTGCTTTAATTAGCTTCTTCAGTTTCCAAAGAAATTTCTTATGTAAATTTTAATACTTACACATACATTAAAATTGGGTTATTATTTTCATTTTATATAGGAATCTTTCAACAATGTGAAACAGTGGCTGCAAGAAATAGACCGATATGCCAGTGAAAATGTCAATAAATTACTAGTTGGAAACAAATGTGATTTGACAACAAAGAAAGTTGTAGATTATACTACAGCAAAGGTAAGAATGAGAAATCTCTCCATATTCATTTGAAGATGTCATATGGAAATGAAAGTAAAAGTTTCCAATTTACCTGTAGTTATTAACTAAAGTTGATACATACATGTTACATGAATAAAAATTAATGCAATACCTGGACATTTTGACTAGAATAATAAATGCAAGTTTATCATCAATGGCTTCACCTTTGTATGTCATCATGACTTAAAAGGGGCGTCCGTGGCTGAAGGGTTAAGGTCGTTGACTTCAAACCACTTGCCCCTCACCGCTGTGGGTTTGAATCCCGGCAAGGACTATGAATTCTTTCATGTGAGGAAGCTATCCAGTTAGCGTATGGAATGTCGGTGGTTCTACTCAGGTGCCTATTCGTGCCTCAAATAATGCATGGAAGGGCACCTGAGGTCTTCCTCCACCAGTAAAGATGGAACATTGCCATAAGACCTATACTGTATTGGTGTGACATTAAACCTTGGGAAAAAAAAGGTTAAAAATTATGGGGGAGTGAGAATGGAGCAGATGAAATAAATGAATTTAAGTTATGCCAGTCATGGAAGTTTACACTTAAATAACAGTAAAACACTGGTATATTGAATTTGTGGCTAGTGAAAATGTTACGAGTTATGTAATTGGTCTAATAAGAAATGAAAGGTTTTACACAATGGACTAAGAATATAGGCATGTGAATTGAAAGAAGAATTCAATGAATGTTACAATGTTTTATATTTTAATTATATTTTGAAGTTGATATGAAACGTGACATTTTTACATCACTCGATATTGCCGAGTATGTCTCGATAATTGCAAACAACAAGTATACTTTTAAAACATTGTTTATGGTAATCAGTGTGTAAGGATGCAAAAGATACAGTATTGATAACATGTTCAAGATAAGATTATAAACCAAGATCATTTCAAAGAGGAGAATAAGTAAATATTTGAAAAGTTTGAACCAAGAGTCATGTTTCATTTTCATTGAAATACTTATGCATTTTTGTATGTCTTTTCTTATCCACAGGAGTTTGCCGATTCAATATCAATCCCGTTTTTAGAAACCAGTGCAAAGAATGCGACAAATGTAGAGCAGGCCTTTATGACAATGGCCGCTGAAATAAAGAATCGTATGGGACCAAATACTGCAACTTCGGATAACAAACCAAATGTGAAAATAAACGCTAGCACACCAGTGAAACAAGGTGGTGGGGGATGTTGTTAAGGATGATTTTATATGTAGACTCAGAGGGGACTGTGTAATTCATCTTTAAAAAGTGTTGAATTTTTGCGAACAGAGCTCATTGGCGGACTGAGGACCGATTTTCATATATCTTAAGGAATTGGTCCGTCTATTTCAAGAAGTGTATATTTTGCGACCGATTTTCCTGCATTTTAATAATCTTTTCACATTGTTTAGATAACTTAGAATGACTTTGCCAAAAAAAGAAGTTTCTGTTTTTTACTTGCAATTTTAGAAGAAGAAAAAATCATTTTAGTGTGATGCAAGTACCATAAGCGTTTAGTTGAAAAGTAGTAGTAAAATGCAGGAAAGATTTGCTGGTGTTCACTTTATTTTTAATATAAATAACATCATAGTATAAGTGGTACATTTCACCATTCATGTTCACTCAGTATAGAAATATTAGCGATTTCATTTTCTTAAAAAAAATCACACTTCTAATTACTTATATAAAAATGTAAGAGTGATGTTCTCTGTTAAAAAATCTTGTGATTGAAATATGTTATATGAAGATGAACAAAGCCAGGTGAAGTATACATTTGTACATGTATTCAAGATGATTTAAAAGAGCATTTTCATTTCATTCCTGAATATCATTTAACAGAAAAAAGCCCCTTTTCTGTGAATTTGTGTAAATATATGTGTTTACACGCAAGTATATGGGGGCTAAGTTTTATTCAATTATGTCAAAGGTGCGCCGTTATAATTTTCTTGTCTTATAACTTAAATTTTCATTTTTCTTTTACTATTTGATGTATGGATATTGAAGCTTCTTTATTTAACTGTTAATCATTAATTCTGTGTCCATGTGTGATGGCATTGATGATTCTGTTTATTTCATACTTTATATTTACGAATATAAGATTTATTTATGATGTGATATTGTAGCTATTAAATGAATGAATATTTTGTTAGTGAATGATTTATTTTATGTGTCTGGAGTAATTGAGTCATAATAAAGGTATATAAAAAAACAAAACTTTCATCTGTCATAAATATAATACTTCATCCAATGATAATTCATGGATAAGGATAGGCTATGTTTCAAATTATTTAGAATTAATGAAATAGGCCTTAACTTTAAATGAGGAGTTGTGTTGTCCTTACCATATAAGATCTAACCTTCTAGCAATAAAGAATTTGGTTTATGGTTTATTCATTTTGTTCTGAAATCTCTGCCAAGTTGTATATAATGGAAAAGAGAGGATATATGTTGACGTAATTAATATATAGAATAAATAAGACAATGATTTGATACAGATTCACTGATGTAGGTAATTTAAATTGTGCTACTGTTTATGGCCTCAAAAAAGGGGAAGCAATTTCGCTAAAAAAAATACTCTGAGAAAAAAGGCTGGGTCTTAAAATGGCTATTCACTTGTACATGTATGTATTTGATATATATTATATTATATTACTAATCACTTGTTAATGTTTCAATATGTTTTCCTTGTCTAGCAGGACATTATTTGGAAGTAGAATGTCTAAGTTATTTAACACCTTATGTAACTATATTAATGTTTGGGGGAATAGCTAAAAGGTTTAAGTAAGGTGGCTACAGTAAAATGTAGCAAAAAGGATTTAAAAGCTTTTTTTAGGCTACATCTTTATTTTGAATTTATTATGTTGAAAAATATTGGCCCATATCTGCCAAAAGTCCTGAAGGCAAGGTATTAGAAACTATGATAAAGATATGACAAGAGTAAATTTACTTTCACTGAATTCATTCACATATATATATATATTGCATTTGCATAATAAATTCATTCAGCACAGGGAATGGTTTTTTCGACTACTAAAAGAATATAGTGTTTAAATATCTCTCTACTAAGCAGTAATAAAGAGCTGTTCTTTGGTCAAGGAAAAACAAATTTGTACTACAGATGTAGGTAAAATACTTTTTTTATTCAGTTTATTGCCAAAAGCTTTAAGTTTTTATTTCATGAAACTTCAAAAATTGGAAATAACCTAACAAGATCACACTTTGCAGCTTGTTTAAAAAAATTGGTTGAGAAATGCATTATAAGGAAAAGAAACTTGATATTAGTTTAAAAATAGTAACCAGAACAATATATCTTCACCTAAGTGCAGTAAGGGGTTAACCCCTAACAAAAAAGGAGTTAACGTTATTGCACAAAAGGTCGTATCCCAGAAAAAGACTTTTTCAGAAAGCATTTGAATAGTATTGGGCTTTTAAGCTTTTTTTCATACATTAACCATATCTTCAGTTCTTTTTAAAATTTTTTTAATTTAAAGCCATATAATGAGAAAATTTTTGAAAAACTGGTTTGTGAGGCTTTCCTTTTCATATACTTGTGAAAATATTTTTCCCAAAATTTAATTTAATTTTTTGAGTAAAAAAAAGTGGTGTTTTTTTAAGGAAATGTCTTTTGATTAAATTTGCCTGTTTAAATATGAATTTAAAATATTAACCGTTTCTTTTGGATTTTATTTGTGCCGTATTTGGGAATTTTAAATTTAGCCAGCACCCTTTTAACCGAAAAAAAACGGGGTTAAAAAAAAACAAAAAAAAAAACAAATTGTAATGCTTAACAGTAAAATTATTCTGAAAACTGTTTTATTATCTATAGGCAATTAGATCATTTTTTGAAGGGGTGTGGCTTAATTTGACAAATGTTTTTTTTTTGTTATATATTTTTCTCAAAAACTTTATATAATTTCTAAGTATGTTTTATTTTTATCGGTATGATTTAATTTTAATTAAGGAAATAGTGTCAAAAATCAATTAGGCCAGACTTGCAGATATCTTTGTTTCCCCTCCTACAACCGGTATCATCTAAATAGGCTAGGCAGTTGGTAAAAATGTTTAGTTTCAACATGTTTTATTGGACATATTTATTTTTAAGATATTTGTAAAAAAAGAAATACCGTGAAAGTTGCTTCAGTGGTTAATACATGTACAAAAAGAAAATGTGATGGTTGTGATATATACATGTAGGTTGTAGGAGGGAAATAAACAAATATTTGTGGTGACTGTTCATTAGCTATCAATATACAATGAATAATGCCTAAATTTAAATATTGCTGGGAAATATCCCCATTTCGAAGCAGGGGAACCCAGAGTTTAAGATGAAAGGAAAACAAGAAAACCATTCTTTCTTTTTTTTACAAACTAAGGAAATGGGACTTCCAGTTTATTTTTCCTTCTTATTAGTCCAGTGCATGAATGATTATTGGTTTTTAATGAATTAACTACAAGTTAGCTAAGTAAGATCATGTATTCTGCAAGAAAATGTACATTGTATTCTATGGGCTCTTTTGCCTTATCATAATTCTGTCAAGTCTTTTCTCCTACATGTTCAGTGTAATGGTTTTTTTTATTTATATAAATGAAAAATAGATGACAATGAGTGGCTTTGATTGACATTACGTGAAAGTAGTTAGCACTTTGTTATCAAATTTACTCCTAAAATTTTATATGTGTAAAATTTTGTGTATGCTTTTAAACTATGGCTCTTTGTTTTGATAAAGGCAAAATTATGACAAATGCTTTTCACTTTGTGGTATTTAATTAATATTTTCTGTAATTCAATACATTTTGTCTCTATCTTAACATTGGGGCCAAATAATTGAAATAAGTTAATGGAAATTTTGATGAAAAATGCGGATACAAAATAAAAATGTACTATTATAAAAAATATATTGTCTTGTTTTTAGCTCGACTTTTCTATGAAAAGGGGAGCTATCCTACTCGCCCCGGCGTCGGCGTTGGCGTCACACCTTGGTTAAGTTTTTCGTACCACCCCACTTTATTTCAGAAGTATTACAAGTATGGCTTTGAAACTTACCATACTTGTTCACCATCATAACCTCCATCTACAGACAAGAGTACATAACTCTGTCAAGGTTTTTGACAGAATTATGGCCCTTTTTTGACTTAGAAAGTGTATTGAGCTTGGTTAAGTTTTTTGTACCACCTCACTTTATTTCAAAACCATTGGAGGTATTGCTTTGAAACTGACCATACTTGTTTACCATCACGACCTTCATCAACAGACAAGAGGACATAACTCTGTCAAGGTTTTTGACAGAATTATGCCCCTTTTTGACTTAGAAAATACATTGAATATGGGTAAAATCCACTTATTGCCTTAACCCTTTGAGATATTGCTTTGAAACTTTTAATGCTATTTCACATCATTACCCCCATCTGTACGCAAGAGAAAGGTAACTCTGTCAAGGATTTGTTTTAAAAATTAAGGCCTTTTATCGACTTAGAATTAAATTTATTTAAGGCTCAACTCAGTTTTTTTTTCTTTCTTACCAGCCCTCTTTTGACTTAAACATTTCAAACTTTGCTGCAGTGTTCAAGGGTATCACACAATTCAGTAAAATAATTCTTCACTAAATATCTTAATGCTCATGGCCATTGTTCACTTTAAAAATACAGAGATTCTTGTATTGCCTTTTACTGCAAAAACTTTTTTTATTGGCAAGCAATAAAAAAGTCGAGCGCGCTGTCTTACGGACAGCTCTTGTTGTTGATTATTCTCATCTACCTTGGCTAGGTTTAATGTGAAAGATTTTATTAAAACAAAAGTGTTTATATTTGTTCTATTGAACAAATCCAAATAATATAATATGATTCAATTGAGTAAACAGTATGTAACTGGGGGAAAAAACATTGTCCAACTTTTCAGCATTTCAATCAAATTTAACTTTTCACTTGCTTTGGATTTCAAACCGTCCCATTAAAGATGTTTTCGATAATCAAATCTTGACAAAAAGAGCCTGAAGGGTTTCCGCTGGCAGTCTCCATTGAACAACAGTAAACAGTTGAGCCTGACTTCTCGGACATGCACGCTGGTTTGGCTCTTAACAGGTGGCACAGACATAATAAAAATCTCAGAGATTTAAAACAGCCATATGATGCAAAGCAGCTTTTTATAGCGTAAAGCTATCTAGGGAAAATACAGATTTTACTTGTTACTGATTGTTGCGCAATTAAATTGGCATTTTGTTAGATATTTCGCTGCCACAAAAGATTCACTTCTATGATGAAAATGGCTAGCATAAAAAAATGTAAAAACTAACTTCTATAAAGAGTGTCGCACTCTTTTTAAAAATTGATTTCGTACCGATACATTCCGGACGCTATTTATAGAAATTACTGTAGGTCAGGCGCATTATTTATTATTTTTTGCACAGTAAAATATATAGTAAAATGTTTTTAATTAAATGTATTTTGACTTTAACCTGTAAATTCACCATTTACTCTTGAATGGGCATAATGTCACTTTAAAGTCCTCTTATTATAACCTCGGTTTTCACCATTAGTTGCTTATTAAAGTGATACCGAAAGTAGACAGTAATATGTATTATTAGTACTTAGTGATAATGTCCGTGTCTATTTTTAGAAATGTTACATACCCCGAGTCATAACAGAACACGTTGCCTATTTTTCGTTATAGTAGGTTATTGATTCAAAACGATTGGTCCATTTTAAAAAAAATGACTCATATACACAGTTTAAAGGTAAATATGCAAACAAATGAATTTAATAACGGTGTGCGACTTAAAAAGAACGTATCGAATATTATATGTGTTAATATTTTAGTTATTTTAAAGTAATAATAACTGACAATGACAACTGCAGTAAAATACGATGCGAGCTACCTAAACAAGTAAGTACATGTTACGATAAAGTTTTATTATTTTTTTATTTATTCATTTTTATTTTCACATAAACAACAATTCGCTTATACATATATTTTAAACTAAAAGTATTTTTACGAGTTTCTCTTACCTATATTGTATATTATTGAGAAACGGAAAAAAACGACAAATTTCTGTAAATATGATGAATTTTTATTCTGGAATTTGCCAGCATACATTCGAGTATTGACATATGAAAACTGAACAATTCGTTAAAATGAAATCAGAAAACGATTTTGAATACCGTTTCTACTCTGTGTTTAAAATTCGAAAAAAAAACTCTAGAATAATCTTAGCAACTGCTGTAAGCTGCTCTGTTTTGGAATAAGTAATTATTACGGAAATCGACGGAATAAGTCCGATTTATACGAAAATTGTTTGTGTGATTACAAGCAATTCAGTTTAGTGTTAGCTACATAGTCATATTCATTTAGTTTTTATCATTTATTGTTGTGTTCCTTTCAAATGATTTCATGTAATATGTATATGATGTTGGTAACATAATATGACCCAGTCTCTTATAACTCCACTATGGAGTGGCAATATACTTTTTATTATGACTGTATATATATTGATTGTAACTTGTATGAATGTACATGTATATTGATGAGACTTTAATAAATAATGGTTTTTTGTTTTGTTTGTTTTAACTCCAGTGATCTGTTGTTCAAGATGTTGATAATTGGCGATTCCGGCGTCGGGAAATCATGTCTGTTGTTAAGATATGCTGTAAGTACCGTGTATAGTATAATACATATTTTAACATCATTCTGTACAAAAATTATGAGTTTCACTTTCGTTGCTTGAATCACTATGTTCCGGATGATAATACACGAAAACACACAGGGAAATTTATATTGGTAACTACTGTTTTGCCTTTAAATCCAGAGTAAATCCACTAGTGTAACATTTGTTTTTTATAAAAGGCGCATTATGCCTAAAAAAATCATATTTCTAAATTCTTTAGAAATGTCAAACTTCAGTTTGATAATGTTTTAATAATAGTTTAAGAGCATGTTAGATGTTTTACAAATCAAAAAAGTAGCACTTAACATGCAGTTATGTGTCGCAATGGTAGCAAAATGTAAACTTAGTGATATTTGGACATCAATACAAAATACTAAATCACTATAATTATACCAGTCGCCTACAGAACAAAAGAAGCAAAAATAGTTCATATATATGGCAAATGATTAAGTTTTTGGAAACTATAAAAAAAATTCATTGTCATCTTATTGATATCTAATTATTTCACACCTTATGAAATATAACCAAATAAACTATCAGTGTTTGAACCACGTGATATTCAACTAAAAACATTATTGGACCCAATATTTTCTATTCAGCCTTAAGTCCACAATATTCATATCAAATGCATACCATACCCCATATATAGCCGCATTGCAACAAAATCTCTATCAAATGCATATCATCTAGTCTCATTTTCATTTCTGAGAGTTCAAAAATCCATTGTATTTGAAGTAACAAAGAATGGTGGTGTGAAATAAAGAGGTCATTATACAGTGTTAAGAATAATATCAATTCTATTTAATTCGAACACATCTGCAAAACATATATCAGACTTGGCTAGCGCCTGTCTGAAACAGTTTTGATAGCTGTGCACTTTTCTAAAAAAGTAATGTACTCAACAACGTATGATAACCTTATAATATATTACTGAAAATTGTAAAATATTAAAACTAGTTTCATTATTTCAGGACGATGAATTTTCGGAGTGCTACATTAGTACAATTGGTGTCGATTTTGTAAGTAATTCATAACGTACTTCAAACTGACTCTATCATCACTTATATTTCTACTTAATGTAATTCTACTTAGAAATTTTAATATTCGATAGTGTTAGTCTGCTCCAAACTTATTGTTACTCTTATATGGCTTTCCGCATTAAATGCCATAGATCCACTAGTTTAAGTAAATACAAAGATGATTTTCTACATTCTAAAACTTACTTGAATAGTTTTCCGAATTTATAACCTATATGTGTATAAAATGTTTTTGTAGTCTGTCATTTTAAATATGATTATGAACATTTTTTATGTATAAATTCTAATTTTTGTTGTAGAAAATCAAAACAGTCGAAATGGACGAAAAAGTTATAAAATTGAACATGGTAATGTATATTCATGTACATTTTATTTTGACAATATAATTTCCAGTACAGTTTTTCCTTATTTGAACTTAAAGAACATTTAGTGAGGGATGATCTCTAGGAAGGAAAGAAAACAAAAATATTATATGAAAATTGCAGACTCGCTTTGAGTCTCTTCATGAGAGATAATGAGCAACATCTGTCACGCCCCTTAGCACCGGCTTAAGCGGAATTTAAATATATATCGGTATAACTCCATCAAATATTATTTAAAAAATGTTACAAAATTACAATTCAATATTTGTTATTTATGTATTACTAGTACATGTACATGCGCTGTATTTATGACAACTTTTCTAATATGTACACGTCAATTATTTTAATACAATCCTTCATGTCGCTGCTACCTTTAACCTCTTAAGTGAAATCCAAAACATATACTTTGGCTGTGTTTTTTTTTTCATAGTATGATACTTCATAGTATGGTACTTTTGTAAGTTGAATTGAAGTTTTCACTTCTTAAAATCTCCAGTTCTTTCTATCTAGAATGGATTGTAAATATGAACTATTTTTATTTTAGTGGGATACAGCTGGACAAGAGAGATTTAAAACAATAACTTCAACGTTTTACAGAGGGGCGCATGGTGTCATCCTTGTGTATGATGTAACCGACATGGTAAGAATTTTAAAAACAAAACCATGCCTAAACGAAAACGTACTGTATAATATTCTAGGATTTAGATATATGACGTAAAGAGACGCATTTTATTCAAGGTGTGGGTAATGTTCTTATCACGAATTAACCTAAATTGTGGAAGTGGAAGGTTTTCAGAACTTTGTTTGTAAATGACTACCCAATTCATTCGTTAATATGATATGTATTTAGTACTAAAATAAGTATACTTTTACATGTATTGAGATATTAAATTTACTCGAGATAAAAACTGCTACATACTCTATAACAGCAGGGATGTTAAAATGACTTTTTTCTTTCAGGAATCTTTTCAAAATATTCGGAACTGGTTAAATGAAATTGACAAATTTGGTGGAAGTCATGTTGCCAAAATGCTTGTCGGAAATAAATCGGACTTGAAACACAAGCGAGAGGTTACTTATGAAATGGCACAGGTATACATGTTAAATTACGTTATATGTCCTTATTTTATTGCCAAATGATACCAAATGCGGTACCTGTTTTCCAAATAAGCAATGATTTCAATTTGAAGAGACGTCTGAAAACTACCGAAATATTGATATAGAAACAAAAAATAGTCTGAGAGCTTAAAGATAAGAAAATTCCCAATTTTTCACTTTTTAAACACACATTGTATTTTTTACTCTAGGAATTTGCAAATGAAATGGGCATTCCATATTTGGAAACAAGTGCAAAAACTGCAACAAACGTTGAACAAACTTTTATGACAATGACTGCAGAAATGAAGAAAGTCTTTGACACTGGTGCTTTCAAAAATCATACAAGACCAATAAAAATAACGGAAGGACGTCGCGTGGGCAACAGACCAGGGTTGCTAGGCAACATGTGTGTTTGTTGAGACAACATTTGCTGTTCAAGTATATTCTTAGCATTATTTTTTATCTGCTGTCCAGGTCCTAAAAGGATGTGAAATTACAGTAGATTTCACAATAGTGAAACTTTATAAACAATGCATTGTTTTTAAATACAAACGTATCCAATTATTTGGGGCATATACAGTAAGAGCTATGACAATTCAAACATCTATCATTCATTCTTATTGGTGAAAAAGCATACAGCAAGTAAGAACTTTTTATTTTTTATGGAAAGAGCCTTTGTAACAAAAATGTGTAGAAAGTTCTCCTGGCAATTGCAAGTCGTTTACCAATGTAAACTCTGAACCTGATAGGTGTATGCTTTCATGGACAGGCTCAATCAACTCGAGTCTGCAACATTGTTAATTTTGCCTATTTTGACGTTCTTTAGGATTCTGTTTTTCTCTCTATTGGGTAGTCTTCAAGAAAGGCACGCCTTTCAGTTAAAGTAACTGTGTATTTTAAAGCATGCATTCGGATGAGCCAAAATATTTCAAGAAAATCAAACGTGAGAACGAATTTTAAGAAAAGTAAAAAGATTCAAGATTCAAGAAATAATTTATTTGTTATGTGCGATTAATGACTGATTTTCCATATTTATTTTGCGTGACTAACGCAGTAAAGGCTACTGATTTTCCATATTTATATTGCGTGACTAACGCAGTAAAAGCTATTTTACTATAGTTTTACCTCATTTTGGCAGTTTTCGTGGAATGCAACATGTATATTACTCCTTTGTTCACTCCACAATGTTTTACTATTCAGTACCTTACCAAAGTTTTTATGGAAATTAGCGTGATTCTCGAAGAATGCTGCTTTCAACTCAAAGGCTGTCAGATTTAAATAGTAAAGTATCAAACCCATATTGCAATTCGGTAGCATATTGTTCTTTGAAAGCAATGACGGTTTTAAAACAAACGTTTAAAACGCTTTAAAACTCGAGGAAGCTTTTAGAACAGTATTTCAGCGTATGCAGTATAATGTAAGGCTTATTCATGTATATTCATTGGAATATGTGCATTATGTGCGATTAATGACTGATTTTGCAGTATTTATCACCCTATTTATATTGCGTGACTAACGCAGTAAAGGCTATTTTAGCATAATGTTACCTCTTTTTTGTAGTTTTCGTGGAATGCAGCATGTATATAACTTTCTTTGAACATTTCGCAATGTTTTACTTTTCAATACCTTACCAAAATTTTCATGAAAATGTGCATGATTCTGGAAGCATGCTGCTTTTAACTCAAAGGTTGTCAAAATGCATATCTCAGATTTAAATAGGAATGTACCAAACCCGCCCAGGCATTGTATATCGCAATTCGGTGGCATATTGTTCTCTGGAAGCCGAAATGACGGTTTTAAAACAAACGTTAAAAACGCTTTTAAAACTCGAGAAAGCTTTTAGAACGGTATTTCAGCGTATGCAGTATAATATAAGGCTTAGCTATTTATTCATGTATGAAAAAAGACATTTATATAAAAAAAAACCTTATCAAATGGTGAGAATACGTGATTTTCGGGAATATGGTTTTACTGCTTGGTTGTAGTGTAAAATATGATCTAAATATTTTGATAGCAAGTGTCTTAATATTGATTTTGTTTCCTGTTAAAATGTGCAATATTACTTGTTTTTGTGTATACATTCATATAAATATTTCTGTTTAAAAGCTACATTGTTATAATCTTTGTATTATGAATTTTTATTCAATGTTGGTGTATTAATATTTTGCTGATTCTGTTACATAATAAAATGATTATCCTGAAAAGGCCCATTGTGCCTTAGAAATACTGTCTTTTTTATTTCTCAAACACTTTCTATTTTTTGGTATCATTTTGCAGTTTCATTTTGCAGTTTCAAAAAAAATACTTATTTGCCACATAGATGAACTATGCATTACTTCCTTTGTTCTGTTGGCAATGTGTATACTCATATTGAATAAGTATTTTGTATGGAAGTCAAAGTACTACTTTGTTTACATTTTGCTGCCTTTACTTTCTTCAGTTCTTAAATATCTGATATAATCTAAATCCATTATTAAAACATATATGGATTTCTGAGGCATAATGTGCCCTTTAAAAATATTGTTCATAACTATGCTAATTCTAAAACCATGCATCATTATTTTAGAATTGAACTATACAGTTACACCAATTGTTAAGTAACATCGTGTTATTTTGTGGAATAAATAAAAATTCGATCCACTGAAGACGAACAGTCATTCAAATTCTGTAAGAGTCAACAAATCCAAGAAATTCTCTCTGGCCATTCGAAGCTATGGCGCTATAATAAGTGAGGTGTTTTTCTTACAGAAAAAACATGGTTTAAAACAAATAGTGGCAATAGATGCGGTTAATTTGCGGAAATAAGGACTTTTAATTATCAGATGCGTCTATATCATTTAATAGTGACATCTTTTTTGTTCAAAGAAATGGAAAAAACAGTGCGTTTACAAAACAAATCGGAAATCTGTATAAAAATAAATTTTAAACAATTCTTATTCAATATTAAATCCACTGTTGTGTACTTAATAAAGGTACAGGATTAATTGTTTAATATGTGCGCCCCTTTATCAAGGGAATCAAACATTTTTGTACACGAATGTTCTGCATAAAGCATTGCCTAGTAGACCTATAAAAAGTTCTGTACATAAGGTAAATATTGCCGCCACATTGGAGGTCACATAGTATCATAAGATAAAACATTTATTTCTTTTCAGACAAGATACTTTATTAACTCTCTACCCAAATTTAAAGATTGTTTTTTGATTACTCAAACACATTCCTGCGTATATTGCCCCGCCTTTGCGGTGCTCCTGATCCAAGTACATCAAAGGTGTTCAGAAAGACATATTAGACTGGTTAAATGACAGTCTTTTTTAAAGATATATTTTAATACCGTTCAAATGAAGTATTATACTTTTCTATTGAAATTCAACAATTATAGACCATAGTCAGATTTTGGTTTATACACATGTATATGAATTGATATCGCCAGTAGTCATCAAAAAGTTTGTCAATATAATAAACAAAGTTAAAGGTGTCCTTAACTGTAAAATAGTAAGATACATAACAGTGAACGACATAATACTGAACGAGTATATATTTACATTACCCTTGCACACTCTGAAAGAACTTTACTCCTGCTACTGGCTTTACAAATCATACTTGTATCCCAACCTACAGAGATACCAGAGGTGATCGCCATCTGTTTCCTTAAAAACAGAGAAAAAGAAAGACAACAAAAACAAATAGATCATTGTTGTGCACCACTTTATTTGATTGTGTATACAACAACATTTACATGAAAAGGGTAAATAATCGTCATCTGTTACTAATAGAAGTTAATTCTTATTAAAAGTTACTGCTTATAAAACATTTTCAATTTATGTATACTTTTTGCTTTTTGACGATACCACAATTGTACTGTAATTGTTATCCTATAAAATTGTAAAATTGTTAAAACTTCATTGTAAATGAAAATGTTACATTGATTTTATACTTAAAATTACATAGAGATAATTATCTGAACCATTTTAAGTGAGAGATCAAAATTGTACATAGTTATTTTTCATGGAGACATCAACAAGAAATTTCAATAAGGAATAGAACAATATGTATACCCGGTATGTTTGATAAATCCTATTAAGAGCGGTTACATTGAGGAATGATGTGAGACACCATGGCAATAATATCTGTAAATAAAATGCAACATAAATACAAATAATTTTTTATAATGTTCATAGTTTGGTTATAATAAATTTTATTATGTCATAATATTTACCCCTTCATGATCACTTATATTGACCATATATAAACAAACTTGAAACGACACAAACATTTTGTTTCATGTTAAATAAAAAGTTTTAAAAAAATGAAAAAAAAACTTCTGCAAGAACTATTACAATAAAAGGCAAAAGTCAATCGGTTTTAAAAAGTTTTGATAAGAAACACGAATTATACAAATTTCTCATATCCCGTTTAGCAGGATCTTTAGTAAGACATATTGTATTAGTGATAGAATATAACAACAATATGTATAACAGTGTGTATTTACTATTTAACTAAAAAGAATATTGTTGGAATTCATTTTCAATTACTTGTCACAAAGTTTCATGTTTTATTATATATATACGAGGGGTGTCCCAGAATTACGTGGACTTTTGCTATAACTTCTTTATTTTTTAATGCATTTTTTAGCAAATTTGTACACAATACCTTTAACATATCCTTAATGAATATGTCCATATATCTTAAGCAATCAGAACATCCTTAAACCTGTCATAGCATCAAAATCCTTCAACACAGATTCTGGTACCATGTCGACACAAAGAACACCAAACAGTTCTCCCTGGCTTATTTTGCCATCATGGTCGACATCGTACGTATTGAAACTGCATGGGTTTTCTGGTAGCTTGACGGTGTATTTGGACCCAACCTGCAGAGAGAGAAAAATAATATACCATAAAGCATTGCACTTGTAAAAGGTTATTTCAAACAAAATTGATTGCAAAAGGTAAAAGTAAGGTGGGTTGCTTAGAACAGTTTTGAAATTTGATTTAAGGCAATTACTAGTATAATATAAGAATCAATTAACTACCATTTTCCTACTCATTTGTAATTCGTACCTATATTTTCAACGCTCGTAAGATAAATAAATGACCACTTGATGAACATGTTAAATATGAAATAAGAATTACGTCTTATTCAAAACATTAACAATGATACAAAAACACTCTAAGACGGATTACAGATAATATATAATTGAAATGTTACCAATTGAACGATTGCTCCTTGTCCTTTTTCAGTGGCCACAACTTGTCTCTCAGTTCTGTTGTGATAGTGATTACAGCTGGAATTTCCTGAACAATTACTTTTAGAACTTTTGTCACTATTAGAACTTGTATTACAGGCATCGGCATACCAAAGGCAAGCAAGCAAAATTATGACGATTTTAACATTCTGAAACAGAAAAGTACGTGTAACAGAAACAAGAGGGCCATAATGGCCCTGAAATCGCTCACCTGTATATAGGCCCCCGGGGCGGGGCAAATTTTAACACAGGGGCTTTTATTTGAACAAACTTGGTAGACACCCATTTGAAACTGTTTCATGATAAATATCTAAGCTCTAGCTGTAAGAAGATTTTTAAGCTTTTACTATACACATATAGGGAAAAATTTTGTCCACAGGGCTTTTATTTGAACAAACTTGGTAGTCACTCACAAGAAGATAGTTTATGCTTAATATCTAAACTCTAGCTCTTTGAGTTTTTTAAAAGAAGATTTTTTAAGTTTTTACTATATACATATACGGAAAATCAATGATCCCCGGGGCGGGCCAATTTTAACCGCAGGGCCCTTATTTGAACAAAAATGGTAGACACCCACTAGAAGATGTTTCATGCTAAATATCTTAGCTCTAACTCATAGGTTTTTTTAAAGAAGATTTTTTAAGTTTTTACTATATACATAAATGGAAAAACAATGACCCCCTGGTGTGGGGCCAATTTTGACCCTAGGGCTTTTATTTGAACAAACTTGGTAGACACTCACTAGAAGATGTTTCATTCTTAATATCTAAGCCCAACTATTTGGGCCTTTTAAAAGAAGATTTTTTAAGTTTTTACTATAAGGCAAATAAGGAAAATCAATGACCCCCGGGGCGGGGCCAGTTTTGACCCCAGGGCATTCATTTGAACAAACTAGGTAGACACTAACTAGATGATGTTTCATGCCAAATATTAAGCTCTAGCTCTTTCGGTTTTCTAAAAGAAGATATTTTAAGTTTCTTCTTCGGTTGCCATGGCAACCAGAGTTCTGCTTAGAATTAAATTCTTTGAACAATTTTTAAAGTTGACTACCAAAGGAACATTCTTGTGAAGTTTGGATGGAATTGGCTTTGCGGTTTATGAGGAGGTGTCGTTTAAAGTAAAAGTTAACGGACGACGGACGGACGGACACCGGACGGACGCCGGACGAAAAGCGATCACAAAAGCTCACCCTGTCACTTTGTGACAGGTGAGCTAAAAATGGTATCTTAACAGATGATTTTCTTCAAATTTTACAGATGTGATTTATGTTCGACTTTAATATAAATAAACGAAGAAGTGTTATTGACTTTACCTTGATATATACATATAGACAGAAGGCAAATAAAGATACAACGGTCACCAAACATTTATATACAGTCGAATCTATTGCAAGAAAGTAAACATTGAGACAACAGATAAAGCATCACTTCTCTATTTCTTTCTTCTATAATCTTATTCATAAAAATGACAAAATTTAAATAATATTATATAAAGTTAAAGTTTTTTTCCAAACAGCAAAAAATGTTTCATCTGTTTTCTTAAATACTAAATAAACTTCATGTATTTAAATATTTCAGAAGATTTGCTTTTTATACTGTTAATTCGTCTTATCGAAGCCGTTGTTTTGTAGGGCAAGAAATTTTACACACATTGCTCAGTACTATAGTTTGTTCCAGGAACGAGTTCGAGAGTAATGTATAACTTTTGTCCTATTGAAAAGGTTCATACGTTGTCTAAGTCAAAACGTCTTTGTAACTTTATCTGTAGTTATATAATAAATGGAAGTAATTAGTACAAGAATAACTGTAATTATACTTTGTATTAATTTAATTTAATATCTTTTATTTATTCAGAATTTTAAGAAAAAATAACTTACCATTCTGATTGGTCTTCTTCTCAACCGATCTCTGACGAAAATATGCAAATCTTTCGCTTATTACAACTAGTGTAAGCGTGGTTGAAATAGCTTCGATCGTGTCCTTTTATT